GAGCTATTAGCTAAGTTCTCCCCAAACGAGCTTGATGGGCCGAATGGCCTCCTCTCGTTTGTAAATTTCTTATGTTCTTATGTTCTTATGTACCCCTGCCTTGTGCCCTGTGACAGACTGGCATCCCCTCCAGTGTGTACCCCTGCCTTGTGCCCTGTGACAGACTGGCATCTCCTCCAGTGTGTACCCATGCCTTGTGCCCTGTGACAGACTGGCATCCCCTCCAGTGTGTACCCCTGCCTTGTGCCCTGTGACAGACTGGGATCGGCTCCACTTCTCTGCCCTTCAAAGACCCTTTCCAGGAAAAACACCGGGGAGGTAGATGGATGAATATGCCACGGCTTCAGAAAAATTGATCTTTTTTCTGTTGATATCCAGTGCTGAACTTTAATTAAATTACTTGTAAATAACCAGATACTTTTATCTCCAAAAATAATAATAATAATTGAATATGGACAAAACAAATATTTTCAGCTATTTATCTCTATCACAGTTTTTCTTAATTGAACCTAGACTGTGATTTGGAAACATTCAAAAGATCATGACCTTTCCCACTGTGTCCCATTGGTTTGCTTGCTATCAGCACATCGTGCTAAACATGGCTAACGGAGGCGTATAGCTGGGATTGCTAATCACAGCAATTTGCCTGAATTCTTAAGCCTAGACGGTGCAGCTTTCCTCGTCATTTTCTGTAGTTTCCCTTGAAGATAAAGCAAAACTGCAAATTTTGTTTGCAGGCAGGAAAAAAATAACACAGAGTTTTAATGTGATTCTCTTGAAAATAGTTGTAGATTTTCTTGCATTATCTGTCAATATACCCATGACTGGAATGCTCATAATCTTCTCCTTGGAATGTTTGTGTTTCTCAACTTAGTCAATGTAGCATTTCTTGCATTACTGTGGCATTCTCCTTCATTATTTTCCTCATCTTTCATTATTTTTCATTCTCTGTATATTACTTGTTTTTAAGAAATGAAAAGTGTCCATTCTCATTTTAATATCTTTTACCCCCCTTTTTAGATGGGTTTAAGAAACAAAATAACGTTGACAGTTGTGTTAGACTGTATGCCTCTGAGGTGTCAGTAGTTTCTTTTGTTTCCAGAGATCCCAGTTTAGGATTCCTTTCTGAGAGGTGAGGTTCTCATCTGCTTATGTAAACCCAAAGCTCTAAGTCTTGGTGCAGGCTGATTTGTACTTGAGAATCCTTGGGAGGTGCTTAACCTTGGCCGCATTCATTAATGGCTGTTGGTATGTAGTGTATGAAACTGTGGTTTGTGTCCTTGCAGTTTTCCACATTACACATTACTCATTTATACAGCTGAATACCTAATGCAGAGGTGACAGAAAAGTCTTCAGACTCATGTCCATCTGTAAGCTAAGTAAAGAGTGACAAAAACCTGACTTTTGGGAGACATTTTGAGAAGATAAATAAGCATGAACATGCATAAAAATTAGACTGCAATCCTATTTTTAGTGGTTATGAGTCATATGGATGTTTTAATGGTTCGCGTTTGTTTTCTGTTAAAAGAATAAGTAGAATAGAGCATTTCTGGGGTCAGCAAGTGGCACTTGCTAAATAGAGAGAATTATCCAAGCCAAAGAGCTCATTAGCAGCTCCTTCTAGGACACGAAGGGGAAGAATAAAGAATGCAAGAGGCTGTTCGGAGGAATGGCTCAGCTGTTTGCACTCATCTGAGAACACCCCTCTTAAAATAATTCCACAGTGAGATATTTAAGTGCCTGTCTGTTTCATAGGAGGCCCTCAGGTCACCTGTGTGAATTCGTTTCTTTCACATTTACGCGTCGCTGGTCTTCCTCTGCTTAGATTGAAAATCTGCAGGAGCAGCTTCGAGATAAGGACAAACAGCTAACCAACCTGAAAGACCGCGTGAAGTCGCTGCAGACGGACTCCAGCAACACGGACACTGCCCTGGCTACACTGGAGGAGGCACTGTCTGAAAAGGTAAAGCCAAAGATACTGTCACTCTGTCTATCATCATTCAATACATCTGATCTTGGTTTTACAGGAAAAAAAATCCAGAAATCTGCACCCTTTCCCATGACCAAATGTGTCCATGTTTGGAGGACAGCTACCACAGTTTAAAACAGCACTTCCATGGCTGGAGTTTTTGGTGGAGGCCTTAGCTGGCCGAATCTAAATGTTGCCAGAATGTTCCATGCTGGCACTCTGCACCTTTGCATAAGCGGTTTGTTGGTACCCTACAGGTGGGCAAAATAATAGATTATGAGTGCATCAGATATGTGCATCAACACATAGGCTAAGCAAGATGTGTTTCTTTGACCTTCCCCAAGTATGAACATTAAGCTGCACCTATGAGCGCTATCCTGAGCTCAGGCTAAGTGTGTGGAAATGGAGGGCACTTGTGTAATGGCTGTGAAAACTTTTCCACCCCTCAGATCTGCTGGAACAACGGAGAGTTCCCATTTAGCTTCTGCTATTCCTTCTGCCCTAAGGGAAACAGACTCTTATGCATCATGGGTGGGGGCCTTTATGTATGGTTGTTACAGATACAAGTGTGTGCCTTCTGCACTATTGGCATATGGAGGACTTTAGGGGTGATGGGTCCCGGTGTTCTCTCTCAGACGCATTAATCATGTGTTTACAGTATGTACAAACTGCTTTTGAGCCTGCCATTATGTGCTTGAGGATGATGTCAAGAACTCAGAAAAGCATCTGGCTTTCAAGGGAGAGAAGGGCTTTCAAAAGGACGACAGAAGTGTTTGTGGGCCAACAGCAGTGACCCATAGACTAGTCTGTTAAGTGAGAGTTGACTGCCATTTTCAGATTTTTAAGCAGGTGCCCTGAGTGGTAACCATGGCTTCGAAGTTATGTGAAAACAATATGGGTTGGTTTTTTGCCAAGGTCGATCAGTGTCAGTGTCTATTGCTGCTCATTTCCTTAAGGTAGAATGTAACGATGTGGGAAGATCCATGTAGGACACAGTTTCTGTGGCTTTGGTTGTGCTGAAATCACTTTGTAATAATAGTTCAAGCTGCTCTCAAACATGGATGCATTTAATTCTTCCAGACTTTTTTTTAGGATGCAATTGAAATTTCCATGAAACCCAAATTAGTGGTTATGATTTCTGGTAACTCTTTGTTGTAAACTTTTTAAAGTTTGTCTTGGTAGGATGAACACAGCTGCTTTTGATATTTACTGCACTGATTGTTGTCTAAAGCTGTATGACGGTTAGCAGTCAGGATTGCTGGGATTGGTTGTGCTGTAATGCATTGGAGTCTTTGTTGCTGGTAATTGCTTTTAAAAAACTATTTGTTTGCGGAATATAAATGTAACATTTTTTCAGGATGTTTGCTGAAAAGCAACTTTTTCTTGTGTGGACAGTTTTGTAAACGATACAATGTTTCAGTTCTCAATAAATGTGTCTGGTTACTGTTTCTGCTCTTAAAATCTTGATATATTTGCATGTAACTTTTTCGTAAATGATTAAATGAAAAATAAACTAGCTTGCATTTTGATGAAGCAATGGCGCAAATACTTTAATGCTAATGGTTTTCCACTACAAAGCTATTACAGGCTTGCACATGTATTTATTGAATGTGTGCTTTTAATTAGCACTGTTGATTTAAGAGCATACTTTGTAGAATGTATTTTATAACAGATGAAAACGCATAATCACACATTTAATACATTATTTAACACATAAACGCAAAAATTACCACAGTGAGTGTTGGATGTGAACTTGGATTGTAGTCCGTATATAAATAGTGACATTTATTAACAGCTTCCATACAAATATTTTCAGAAAATGCAGCTGATGTTAGTGTGACCATTTCAATTACAAAGCAAAGCAATAGACAGTTCAATTTTGGTTTCTGAATTTCAAAATCTTTGATGTGTATGACTTTGGAGAAAGTTGTATTGAGGAATTCATCTGTGTTCACAAGCTTTCAGTGACCTTCAAGGGCAACTAGGGGTGATGGAGGGAAGACTGTTAGGAGATGGGTGACTTTTAGCCTCTTCTCTTTGGATGTGCTATTAATTTTCCGACCGTCTCTCCATTGTTGCCAGGAAAAAATTATTGAGCGCTTGAAGGAACAGCGGGAACGGGAAGATCGAGAGCGACTGGAGGAAGTCGAGTCCTACAAGAAGGAAAACAAGGACCTGAAGGAGAAGGTGAACACCTTGCAGGCCGAGCTGACAGATAAGGAGGTCAGTCACTCCAGGGCCTGGAAGAAGCCTGGGCTTAGAAGTCCATCTCTGCATGTCAGGCGTCGTCCTGCGATGCCTTACAGACAGCATCAGTCATACTGAGCCAGTCATCCCGTGCCATAGAGATGCTACTGCAAAGTGAGGTTGTGTGCAGAGATCTATGGACCTATGCATCTTAGGGGCAAGCAGCATTAATGTAACCTGTTATTTAAAATCATTTTTAACTCATATTTAACTCATTTATATTCCAATGCATGTGTAATTTGTACCCTCTTCCACTTTTATGGAAATATCACTGGCCGTACATTTTTCTCAGTAGCTTATGACAGTCTCCGATTCATTTAAAAAATTAATTGAACTTATAATAGGATTGAGCTGATATATCTGATATTCACTTTGTATAGGGCAGCTGGAACATTGCAGTCTCGCAGGAGAGCCATGGAGATTTTTGAAAAGTTCTCTCTTATCTTTCTTATTGTGTCATCATGCTATTCTATATGTCTTTAATATTTTTAAATCATAAATAATCTATAAAATACAATCACTTCAGATATTCATGATGAGTGTCCTGTATAGAGATCAATCACTTGAGCAAATGTTCGAAGAATTTTATTGTATTCATTTTTTGTGATATTAGTAGATATTAATAGAAATTTGACATTTGAAAAGTCATTAAGCAGTTAATTTTAACTTCAGGATATTATAGCAGTTGTAATATGATGAATCAAATCTATTTAAGGCTTTTGCATTAAAGTGAAGGTAATTTATTTTTTATTTCCACACATGTTCCTTGAACCCATCCAAAAACATCACTGTCCACAGCTTGACCAACTGCCAAGAATAATCTTCCTTATTCTAAAGACAGACTCGAGCAGTGTTTTGGCCCAGTATATTTGAATTTATGAGACAATTTTAATGCTCTTCTTAAGTATTCATGTATCATTTCTGCAAATTATTTTGAATGCGTGTGCACACAGTGATGCAAAATGGAACTGCTGAATCACCACAGCAGCCAGGAATCCCTATGCACCTTCCACAGTTTGCAGTGTCAGGAGTTTGTAGCATGCAGAATTTGAGTCTTAACATGTATGCGTGCCCCATACTGTATGTGCCTGTCTCTTTAAGAAAACTTTTCTGAGAATTAGGTCTCACAAAATTTGCCTCTATTTTCTCATAGTCCCTTATGTCTACATTATTCAAGTGCAGTTCGCTCTCATGCTTAAAATGATTTGCGGAAATTCTGGCCTGGGAGGTGATGGACCGTGCCTTTTTTTGATATAACTACTCAGCCCCTTATTTCTGCTGAAAGATAATGAAGCAGACGGATTTCCTGGGAGTACATTGATGAGGAATGAACAAATTGCCCGGTAGTGTTGCTGCCGGAGCTGCATATCAGAGCAGATCTCACTGACTGTCTGGCATGATTTCATCTCTTTTCAGTCTAGTCTAATTGACCTGAAAGAACACGCGTCGTCTCTCGCTTCGTCTGGTCTAAAAAAGGACTCCAAGCTCAAATCCCTGGAGATTGCCATAGAGCAAAAGATGGAGGAGTGCAGTAAGTTGGAAACCCAACTGCAGAAGGTAAGTGCCACAAAAGCCTCAATTTCCCTTTCCTGACACTGTTATAGTTCTGGACAACAGTCGTTGATGATTTCCTGCTGTAATGTTTATCCTGAGGGTGGGGCTGATCTGACATAAGCGGTGCGTCTAATGGCATCAGTGTAATTAACATTAGGCTTCCTTGTTCATCTACTGGAAGACCTGTGGAGAAAACCAGACATGTAATTGATAGTTGAGGAAGAGACATCGATTCTGCTGTCAGAACACACTGAAGGAAAGCTGTAAGGCCAGGGCAGCTCTGCAAGGTTCTCAGCATCGGTACCTGAAATGGCGGCCAAAGCCGCCAAAGAGAAGCAGGTGCAGGAGGGCAGCATTACATGTGTAAGGTCACATCATCAGCGGCATCCTAGAAGGCCCATGATTCATGCTGTTGGGGAGTCAGCATCTCCATTGGTCCTTTACTGCAAATGTGGTTTCACTTCTGGCTGAAAAACAGCTGTATAGATACACTTATGCTGGTTGATAGCATTTCATTGCATATTATAAAGAAAAGTAGGATATATAGAGGTTCAGGTTATGACATCATCCTGTTCCATATTATGACTGTCATGGTCACTCTCCCAATACGTGCATGAAGTTTTTGATTTTATGCTTTAACAATACACTGCTCAATACCCCTGTCAGATTTAACTATTTTTTATATTACTACTTATAAATCTTTATTTGTTACTATCCATTTAGCTTTTTCCATTTATTTTTTCCTTAATGTTCTTAAATTTATGTGCAGCAGAAACCACAGCACAGTATTTCTCTTGAAGTATCATGTGATTTTGTATTTGGTGAAGTTAATGTCTTACATATGTAACTTATCCAGAAAACCTTAATTCTATACTAATATGCACTACTAGATATCACACACACACACACACACACACATATATATGTATGAATATTTGTATATAAGCCATCTAACTATATAAACATGGGGTTAGATGGTTAGATGCATCGACCAGTATAAGCTTAGCTTGACATTATGGGCTTTACCCTTCATTTTTTTTTAAAGAGTTAAATCCTGAATAACAGTGCTCCAAAGAAACTGAAAAATATGTAATAGCCTGCTGATTAGATTTGGCTCAACAGGAGTTTGATTAAAATCAGCCTGTAACACATTTGGCCAATTTCCTCCCCAAAGAGCAGCTGGAAGGCAAAGGAGATTGCATGTTGATGCAGCTTCAGAGCAGCTTGAGATAGCGAGGCCCTGAGTGCTTGCTAATTCTCTGCAAACGGGCACGTCTAGGCGAAAGCTATTGTTCAGGTCCACGTGTGCAGCCTGTCGCGTACACTTTAGTCTTGTACCTAAGACAGATCCAAATGCACCCTGAAGAAAGCGGCCATTTTGTAGTTTTGAACAACCTGATATTTAATATGAAAAGCATGACACTGGAATAGTATTGTGTGAATATTTACAAAGCTTTAGCTGCTACCTATTGTGCTTATTCATACAGGTTTTTATGTATCCATTTTCATTGAAAGAACAAAACAACTTTCCAAAACAACTTGTTTTATAATGCTATAAACACTTTACTACAAGCGTTTTGTTTAATAAAAACAATCTGGATTGCTGCAATAAAACGAAATCCAGAGAAAATGTTTTGACACTTTTTTAATGCATCTATGATCAAACGTCAGTGCCCAACTGCTTTTGAGTTACGTCATTGTCATACATCAGACCGTATAATATCTACGTAAACACTATCACACTTTGCAGAATGATTTATCAGATGTCATCTATAATAATAACACAAATACAAAACACGGTCATAATGGGAAGTATGTTATGTATATATATCAGAGTGAATGCATGGTGTCATTTTTATTTAGCTTTGGTCAAGTTAATTTAGTTTTCTTTGGCATGACCCTTCATTACTTCAAAAGAAAACAGGTTTTATAGTGCAGTCAGAACCCAGGCACCCAGTGGACTTGGCTGAATAGGGAACTCCATAGAGACGCTGCTTAATCACAGACAAAAGCTACATCAACATAAAGGCTTTTCTTGGATTGCAATAGTGTGCATTGTGTTTTTTAACAAAGTGCTTTTCCTTTCCTGGGTTGGTGCTACACATGACACCTTGCCAGTGGGCTTTGCCACAAAGAATATTTCTGTTCAGTGTGACTTCAATCCTATTATTTTTTCAATTCGTTTTTAAATTCTGAATGCAACGGAGTGGAAAAGAAATTGAGCATTAATGAAACAGTGAAGCAGAATAGGTCAAGGGTGAGTGGGCACGCTCTGGTAGATTAAACTGAAATGAAATGTTAAATCTGCTCAGTTTAAAATGAAGCCTTCTACCCGTAATGCAGTGTAGGAACTTGGGGCATTCCTTTTTTTCACAGCCTCTCTGATTTTTTTGGATTTGGACTTTTGCTTTAAAGAGGGTAACAACAAAACAACTAAAACTAACAGTTCTTTGATTGTACTCTTGATCTGTTTGATGAGGTGACAGAGGACATCTTATGTCCAAGTCATTAACATAAAATTACCAGATTTCTCACTTAGTCGATTCAGTGGTTGTTTTTAGCTTGGCACTTGAACTGTGGGTGTTTCAAACGTCCATTTAGAATGCTGTCACAACACATCCCACTAAGAATACTCAAGGGTTTAGTGTTATTCATACTACACCTCTCACTATTTGCAAATGACTACAGTGTCCTCAATTCTGAGAAGAACTAAAGTAAATCATAATCTCAGCAATCACCTGTGATTTACTCTGCATTGTCCTCTGAAGCCGGTTCCGTCAGAAGGAACATTAGCTTAAGATAGCTCCCAGGAAAAAAAAGAAAAAAAGTTTAATGTTTTGACACTTTTCCAGGAAAATTCTTTTTTCTTAAAGAAAATTGAACGAAACATCTGGAAGGCTGGATTTAGTTTCGCTAAAAAGTTTAATTTTGTTATCAGAGCTGGCCAGATGGGCGGTCTTTTTAGGCTCAGCACACTGGTCAAATTTCTCTGATGCACTGTAAGAAAATATTCCAAATGAAAAATGTATCATGCATTAATATAGATAGTGAAGAAGACTTGATGAGTCGCTTTTGGCCAAAGCTCTTGATAACAGTTCATTGTTTAAGTGAAGATGCTTAATACATCATCACATGTGGGCAGAGATCTCATGGGTTGTTCAACTTAAAACAATATAAATGCCTGAAACGTTTTTCACTCTATTTGATTTTTCACTGGAAAATGTCTGCTTGTTAATGACAGTTTATTCTTTTGTTTTGTTTTTTTAAATGTGGGTTCCGGGGGATCTGTCTAGCTAACATTGTTATCCTGGGTCTCCCCCCTGTGTGTGCTCCATCCCTCTCCAACTTTGCAATGTAGTAAGCAGAGCACTTATTCGGTCATGAAAGTATTGTAATTGTCATGAAAGTATACAATATATACATCAAAATCAAAACCACCCATGCTATCTTAAAAGCTTTTAGATTTTTAAGATTAATTTAAGAATAACATGCAGTTCTATGCACAGTGATCTCTTGATGCGTATGGGTTCGAAGATGGATGGATGGATAAATTGAACAAATTTTTATCATTATTGCAAGGCTTAATAAATACATAATTTATGCTCACATTTTGGTGTAATTGTTTAGCTTAAAGGAAATGCAAACATCAAACTTAGCTAATATAAACCTTATTCATAGCACATGGTGAATTGAACCAAATATAAAATTGTCTTTATATTTTCATTAAGAGAAAAAATGTTTTTGCACCTTGGCAAATATTTAAATATGTTTCACTGTACCAACATTGTAAAACCCCGAAAAAATGTTAACTGTTGTTCAGTTGCTAATTAATGATAATTATCTTTGATATCATTAAATGTATACTTGTTATGTAAAGAGTTAGAACTTTCAGTTGGCTGAGGAAAACACAGCCAGTAAAGCTTACCCCTGACGTGAGCTGCAGGCTTCTTGTTCATTGTTCTAGACTTTTGGGTTTTGGCTCAGGTGTTCTGCAGGTAGAACCTGAGATGTAAACTTTGAAGAACATCTTTTGATATTCAAAAGATCATCTGTAATTACTTTAATTACAGATTTACTGAAATACAACTTTAGCGTTTTAAAAATACTCAAACCTTTTACTCACACATACTTAGTTGCTATGAAAATCTGGTAGTTTTAGTCATTTGAATCATTTGTAATACTTTGTTTTTGGTTGATATTTTAAAAACAAATAGGATTATTTCCTTGCGAGGTTGCAGTAAAATAGCCAAAAACAAAGGTCTTGAATGAAAAGTAGAGAGAAAAAAAAAATTCTGAATACAAAAACATCTTGAGAGATATTTTTGGTTAAAGAAGCCGCAAGACAGACCAACTCACAGAGAAACCTTCTTCATTATTCTACAGCAAAACAAGTTTTATGTCATGCAGTTTAGTAAATTAACTTTTAACCAAATCTGTAATCCTCATGCTTAAATATATCTTACATGTAAACAATAAGCGAAAAGGGAATTCCTTTCAAATCAGCCCCAAAATCTGTATTTGCTAGGAGTCCTCCTCTGTTTCTTTAAAGCCAAACAAAAAGGCATTGCAAAGACTCCTTTATTTTGGTAGCATTGTTAAGTACTGGTGTGTTGCCTTGTTTGACCCTGTTCCTTTCGCTGTGCATGTCACATCGAAAAGCGACAACCTTTTCATTCCCTTTGCTTGCCTCGTTCTCCCCCTCGCTTGCTCATCCAAGACTCCAAGCAGGAATGGCGGGAAACCTGTGGTAGGCTCAACACAACACCGTCTCTCTTCCTTTGCCCCCTGGGGCCTTCATGTTCACCCCACCCTATTCCAGCCACTCTTGTGTCACTCTTTGTGGGTTGCAAATGCCTCGGCTGTTGACCGTGAACGCTTTGTCACCTTGGTTTTAAAGAACGTGTGTCCATCTCCCCCCTTTGCTTTCTCCCCTGTCCCTTCTCGTTCGGTCTCTTCATCTCTCCTTTTTATAGTGTTGTGCATCCCTCACAAGTGTGTACTTCTGGCTTTTACAAAAAGACAAGACAAGAACAGCGCATTATCTATCTGGTGTGATTATAAAGTTGAGGGATTTCAGTTCCCCAACTCTTCTTCTGAATTGCATTATAAATTAATTGATTTTTAATTGAGTCATGGGGGATTGTTTATGGACGCACAAATGTGAAATCCACACCATGACAGCGTTAGTACATGTTTCTAAGATTACTGTCTGATGAATGATTCTGAATCTGTGAACTGGCCAATTTACTTAAAATATAATGAATTCCAAATAAATCTGAAGAACAGTGTATGGATTTCACTGATGAGAAGAATATAAATTCATACAGTAATCCATGCGATCAGTGTGACTCGTTAGCTTTGTAGCGCTGAAGTTGGCTGATATGTTTGGACACTTCTTTTGTTTCTGAAACATTTTGAAAATGCAATTTTCAAGAAAACCTGGACGATTGACAATGAGCCACATTGGAGGCAAAATGCACGATTGACAATGCAGTGAATGCTGACGGGGAACTGTGCAGTCACAACTCCCTCATTCAGACAGGTCGGCAAGTTCAGCGTTGTAAAACCGGCTATATTATTAGACTGTAAACCTAGGTCTTGTTGGTTCATGTCTGAAGTGTTGTAATACTGACATTGTTCTGCCATATGTGAGCAACTTCTGATACTGAAGTGAAGAATAGGGAAAAAAAACCATTAGCCACAATGTGTTATTTTTGTTTGATAAAAGATTGAATTTGCATTTTCAAAGCACTTTTCTGTTTTGCAAGATATGTGTGCTTTGTGTACGCATTGAAAACCAAAATCGTGAGACTAGAGATTTATATATTTCAGTTCCTAGATGTGTGCTGAGCTCTAAACCACTTCTGAATATAATTTCTGTGCTATTTGAGCCAGTGATTATTCTCACCATCGTTGTGTTTTCATTTATACACAATCAGAAGATGAACGAATGTTTAAAATCATAGTGATTATAATGATGATGATAATAGTCGCAATGCTACCATTAATTAGCATTTCTTTTTTCCCCCTTTATCTTCTGGAATGCTGGTTGATATCTTTCAATAACTCGTGGCATAAATAAAGGCGCATGAGACGGAGGAGGCAGCCAGGACGAACACGGAGATTCTGGAAAAAATGAAGCACTTGGAGAAAGAGGTGGTCTACTATAAGGAGGAATCGAGCAAGTCGCAGGCCGAAGTCGACCGGCTGCTGGAGATCCTCAGGGAGGTGGAGACGGAGAAGAACAACAGGGACAAGAAGATAGCAGAGATGGAAAGGTAGGCGGCGGGCACAATGACTGCGGAGAAGATCGATGTTATAGCAACACTTATTAGAAGATATTCTAAGAATTAGTCTTTTATAGCAGTGTTTCCCAACCTAGTCCTCAGGGTCCCGCAGATGGTCCACGTTTTTGATCTCTTTCAGCTAGCTGCCAGACAGTCCAAATTTTTGCTCCATATTTTTGGTTTTGGAGCCAAAACATAGATTGTGTGACCGGATTGGGAAACACTGTTTTGTAGGGGTGGCAACCCATCCTGGACTGTTCCCTGCCTTGCGCCCATAGCCTCCTGGATAGGCTTTGGACCCCCCACAACCCTGAATAGGACAAGCAGTTATAGAGATGGATGCATAAATGGATAGCCTTTTATGCCAAATAGATGCCCTTCCAGACAAGAGTTCTAGATGATGCTGGTGCAAAATACAAACCAGTAACAACTCAAACGCAATTCATCCCTAATGCCCAGTTGAAGTGAGGAAGTGGTTCCGAAATGTACATAGATTTCACTGATCAGTGAAAAAATGTGAACTCTGGCTGGTGTTTTTCTTCCGTGCAGTTTAAGAGTGCAGGTCACATGGTCTCTGCTGATATTATATGCAGTCACCCATGTCAGCCCTGTGATTTCATGGGCTGTATTTAATTAATTTGTTTTATTTTTGTTTCTGTTTTGTGCCATTTTCATTTGCAGACCTGGGTGAGTATAATACTCTTATGTTCTGGCCTTCAGCTGGAGGGGGGGGTCCCATTCATTCGTGTCTCTGTTTTTTCCTTTCGAGTGTGTTTCTTTTACTGCATGTAATTTCTATATTTTTATAACAAGGAGATCATTTGTTTGGCACTCATTAAGCTTCCCTTTACTGCCAAATCCACGGGAAGTTAGAGAAATGTTTAACAAGATTAATTAAATCTTGTAAAAAAGTGTATAACCAATAATGCGTTATAGTGGTAAGAAGAAGTGTCACGCTAACTGAATTTACTGTTTGTCAAACAAATTTAATTCCTTAAAAAAGCATTTCATTCCACAAAACCCTGCTCTTTTATTCACATTTTCTACTGCCCTTTTATAGGAAATGTGAGTTTAGCTAAGCAGTTTTAGTCATTATTTATCTCCCCTCTCAAATGGTGTGAGTTGAGGGTGAAGTATTAATTTACACTAGTGTCAGACCTCCCATTAAGAGACAAAAAAATACTCTGTACACCTCAGTCCATATTTAATCACCAGAACTGCTACATTGTAATTGCCTTTTTCTTTATACTTAACTATTCTTGGATAAAAAAATTCTCATATTAATTACAATATTCCCGTGTATGCTGATATTTAGAAGAATAAATTTCCCTACATGAGAAGAAGCCCCCGAAGAGCAGCTCCATGGTTTGTCCATGTTTTTCAGATGAATTTGCCAGCTCCAGTTGATATGCTGGTCTGTCCATTCAGCTCTGCTCTGCTGATTTAGCTTTCTGCCAGCTTTCGATGGTTTCATATGGCTTCATAGAAGTGAATAATTGCTACCATACTTTGTTTATGGAAGTTGATGGGAAGCCAGGATTTATTCATTGGGTATCATGCTACCTGAAAAAAAAAACAACCTATTGTGCATCCTCCTTTATTGGCTAAACTGTACACAATTACAGTCTGATTTATAGATTTGCATCTTGTTTTACTGACGATCCCAGGGGCTCATGCCGTACTGCCAAGGCGTGTGGCTGAATGAGGCTTCAGCACGAAAGCCAGGTGCAGAAAAACCAGCTTTGTTAAGCATTCGCCTAACTTAAGGTTTCCATTCAGGTGTTCAAATAAACTCCGAGTCGAGCAAATGAGCCCGACGTAAGGCAGGATCGATACACACCACCGCCTGCAGAAGAGAGGGCAGCCCAAGCAATAATAAAGGCAGACGAGGGATCGCTCTGAAAAATGGGGGCCAAATGTTAACAGTGTGGGGAAGGGGAGGCCTCGGCTCGTCCAGCCCTGCTGCTCTTCTGCCAGCCCTCCTGGTCTGGGAGCTGGGCTGAAATCAGAGCGCTCTTGGCGGAGCAAATGAAACAGCCTCCGGGCTGCTGGAGCACTTTGCAGCTTGGAATCACTGCTGTGCCAACTGAAGGGGGGGGGGGGGGGTCGCACAGGAGAGCATCTGCACTGAAGCTTTTACAGGCGGGGGTCAGTCTTCCACAGACCTGTGCTTCTGCTTCAAGGCTTCAGACAGACGGAAGCGTTATGGATCTCGAGAGTGGAGAGAGAGAGAAAATAATACTTAAAAAAAATAAAACAAAATTTTTCTAAATACGATTCAACTATAGACTAAGGGTGTTTATAAGGTGCATGCTAGGGTTTATACTATGACTCGGCTCCTTGAGTATTTTTGCTTGGAAAGTGGTGAAAATTGGCTTTCACTCTCAACATGATAAAGGAGTAGTGTGGCTTTGTGCGCCATACCCATGCAGTTCCTTGTGTCTTTACTGAACCATGGGTATTTATATGTTTCTCTTCACCATCTTGTCCTTTCCCTCTTCCCAACACCTCACCCCGTTTTCGCCCTTTCCTCTCCGTCCCCTCGGCCCGCCCTCTCCTCGATTCCCCCCACGCCCCCACTTGGTCCAGGGGCAGAGCACCCCCAGATCAGCACCTCTCTGTGTCGGCTGCCCCACAGCAGATAGGGGGTCTTATGTGGGATTTCTTTGGAAAGTGAGTGCTCTGCCCTGGCATGTTTCTCAGCTGCGTTCTGCCGCATGCGTATGCGCGTTTGTCTGCATCTGCATTGGCTGCCCAGCATGCTTCTGTTGCTGTGGTTTGAACGCCACGTGTTCTGTCACTATCATCGCTAAATGTTTTGCCTTGACACCTTCAAACACTGAATCCGCACCTGTCCTTCGACACCTCACACACGTACACACTCCCAGCTCCTTGCCCAGACCCTTCTGGATCACTCCTCACACCACTCACACACATTGGTTACTGTATGAACCTTACATACTATGCAAGAGAACTGTGGTCTGCAAAAATGGGACAATGACCTTAAAGACGACGTTGTACCTTTTTTGACGTCATAGACTCAGTGCTGGAAGGCTTGATCATATTTAGGTAAATGGCCGAAAAAGCAAATTGACTTGAGGTATGTGAATATATAGCTTTGCATGTACCTTTAGGAAGAGTATGGTGGGTTAAATCTGTTTTGCATGACCGTCCTGCAAAACCTTGTGGTCTTGGTGTTAGGAAGCACCTGTGCTGTACAATTTGTTTTGTATTTATGGCTGAGTAATGATCCTCTAACACTTAATCCCCTGCATCTTTCTGCTTTGTGAACCTTAAACGATACACCAGGGTTGTATATGTCACAGTGTTTTTACTCACCAGTGTGAATACCGTATATTGATGGCAGGTTGGGGAGAGATGGCTTGTGTCCACATTCTGCCTATGGTGCAGTGGAGCAACAAATCGATGATCTTCACATGTGGTTTTCATGTTTTTGAGGTGCACTGCACGTGTAATGAGGACCTCCATTTTTGTTGAGTCTGAGTCACGTTTAGTAAGTGTATGACATTGCATGAGTAAACCTGCTTATTAACTGAACCTGCTTATTAACATCGAAAATACCTTTCCACCTCTAGTACAGAAAATGTAACATTAAAAAATGGAGATGTGTTCTGTTCTGAAAGTTTGAACAGCGGTTTTATGTCCTGATGGATAGCACTGCTTAAAGCCTTTTGGTTTCTCTTTGTTACTGTGTCGTGAGGTATTACTGACTTTTTTCTCTTTATGATTCCTAGGAACATTTTAACTGCTCTTGCCCTTTTCTCTTCTGCATTCCTGCTTCCGTTCTGGGTCTGTTCCCTCCTGCTGTCCTCTTCCCTTCTGACTGCAGCCTGGCATCCAGGTTAGTCTCACGCTTTCTGTCCTGCTTCTGGTTATTGGCCAGTAATCTCCTCTCACTTCCTGCAAATAACTAGTCGATAAACTTTCCAATGGAAAGCACAGCCCGTAAAGTAAAACGTGCCACCTAATAGTGCAGCCTGTCTATAGCATATATTTGCTTATAAAATACAGAATGTCATTTCGGCACTGAGCAGTCTTTAAACGCCCTCCAAAACCGACGGATGGAAAAGGGGCAGCATTGGATGGAAGCCTGCGTTTGACATCAGCATTAGTACCAATACCACACTGACCTAACCGCCATAATTCTGAGCCATTCACAATATTTATCCTCTTTTATTAATTCATGTTCCTTTTATTAATTCACGTCAGTTCTATTCTGTCAGGAGAAATCACACTTATAAATAATATATATGTAAAAATAGCCTTACAGTTACCACGTCCCACCCAGGGTGTCCCCTGCTTAGCAGGTCAGGCTCTGGATCACCGTGACCCAGACTGCATGTGGGGTTTAGCGGTCTTAGTCTTTTTTTTCCTTCCATTTTTAACAGAAATGAAAAACACAGGTTTTACCGCCACAGACGGTTTTTGTTTATCCGAATCCTGCCGGTGACTTTCGCAACGCTGGCGGCTCGCATGTGAAGATCCTCCATAGCAGACAGGCGGAGGCCTGCCCTCATGTGGGGTGTATGAGACCCCCCCGGCCCAGAAGGCCTCCTTTCCCCCATGTGCCGCACACACATTCCAGGCGAGCGTGTGAAGATCCTCCATAGCAGACAGGCGGAGGCCTGCCCTCATGTGGGGCGTATGAGACCCCCCCGGCCCAGCAGGCCTCCTTTCCCCCATGTGCCACACACACATTCCAGGCGAGCGTGTGGCTGAGCGTGCCCTGGAATGGCTGTCCGCTGGCCATCGTACATGTGAGGTCTGATTAGCGGTTTCCCTCCGCAGATGCCTGTATCATTATTTGTCCAAGAACAGCAGGAGAGGGAAGGTGGAGGTCGCAGATAAGATATCTGTCATTCTTGGAGCAAGACACTTCTTCATATGCTCCACAAAAAAATGTTATTTGTTTAATGATAAGGCCTGAACTTTGCAATTTTATATATTTATTGGCAAAAAAAGCTTTTGTTTAATATCTGTCAGCTAAAACATGCATTGTAAATGATATCTTTTATGAACAACCTTGTCAATATTTAGCTTGGATATTGGTTTTGCAAAACCAATGTGAATATGCATTTACACAAACATATCATACTGGCATTAGCTTATCTGGTTTTGTGTCTTAAACATGATGGATATCAAACAGCAAAATTTCTTACTTTTTTCTAATAACCTTGTTTGCCTGTAGCACCAGAGACCTTGAAGAGAAATAAATGGTCTGATAGCTGTAAAGGAGATGATTTAGATATTGATTGAATATTTATCTGCTGTATATTTCATTACATTCATTCCTTCATACAGTTACGAGCCTAATACTAACCCGCCATTTATTGTCCAACGTGTTACAAAATACAATACAGGAAAATATAGTTTAATATTATAGTTTATTCAATGAGAAGATATGTAATTGGGACTTATGTTGTGTTACTTTCTGTAGTAAACTTAAGAATTAAACCCAACATCGATAATTAGTTATACGGCAGTTGTCTTTTTTTTATCTTGACTGTAATCCTGAAAAGAGGGGGAAAAAAAAACTTCTAAAGTTTTCACAGCCAGAATTGAACTCGAGCTGCTTTTTTTGGACACTTTTTGCACCGATTATTCCACTTGGAAAATGTCTGAGGAAATTTGAAAAATGAGTTTTATTACTGATGATTGAGGGTCGGAATGGTTCCATATTGTGGGAATATCTTTTAAAGGTTTCCCCGCCCGGTGTCTGTTTCAGTATGCATACGCCCCCGGCTAGAGCAAAGCGCATAAAAAAGCCGGAGTTCACACCTTCCCCACATACGTCTGCATAGTCATTAAAATCTGTGCTGGGGAGGGAGCTGAATGATCATTTGTAACCGACGTATGCAGCATGAAATTATGAAATGATTAATTTCACTCGCCCTTGGGTACATACATGTGAGGCTCCCTCAGCTTGTATTTCCAGATTTGTTGTTGTTTTTGCGCAGCTGGTTTACAAAATGCCAGCTTGAAGGTTAAGACTGTCTAAATAAAATGTGTGTGGTCCAGTGAGGCTTCCAGATGAAATCTGTCACATGCTGTTGACTCTCCACGTGTCAGACCAGGGGTGTCCAAGTTCAGCCCATAGGTGCAGCCTTATAAATTTCCTTGGAGAAATGTGGTTATGCCCCCCCCCCTGCACTTGGCATGGAGAAATGGTGACGGGGGCAAGGCGCCTTGCAAGTGAGCGTCGAGAGACCTTTGGTGATGCTCGACTTTCAGGGGCATGCTGTTGCACGGGTTAAATTTATTGGCCGAACTCTCGTGCAGGACCGAGCTCATTGGCTGACAGCATGTCTCACTGAGGATGTCTCGCTCCCCTCATAATCTCCCCTCCAGACAGAATACCTATTGACCTACATAGGCCGGTTTTTATGTTCTATTTTATAAATTAAAAAAACATCCATCTGCTTTTCTAGAACAGGATCGTGGAGCCTGGAACCTACAGCAGGAAGCACAGGGAATGAGGCAGGGGGACACTCTGGATGGGATGCCAGGCCATCACAGGGCACACAGCATCATCCATTGTTGGAAATTTAGTTGTTTTTGAATTCTGTGGGATTAATCCAGAGCTACTGGAGGAAGCCCAAGTGAACACAGGCTTATGATTGTCTGATTGTTAGTGGGGGGGGGGGGTTCACTAATAGAAAGTGGTGGTTGACACATTTCTGGGCTCAGGATGGTTGTGCGATTTGCTGTCAGAAGCGCTGAGATTGAGATGTAGCCTGCCTTGCCTATCAAACCCTATCTCCATCCTGATTCTACCTAAGTGACAACAACTGTCCTTCTGCCTCTGAGCTAGAGACCAGGAGAGCCCTCCTGGATGGATAAGCGGACCTATTTTTGTTTTTGTCTTTAACCACATCTTCATCCAGAGCCGCTTGACACACTCCATTGGGCCCTTTGCTGTTTAGACAAATGTGACTTCTGATAACTTTCAGAACTGCCATATTTCAAGGTGCAGTTCAGTTGTTCCTCTCCATTGTGTACTAGACAGGTAGTGGGAAAACTGGAAAATATTATGCATTAGATTGCTGGGCCTGCGTGTACAACTTGGATGGCATAGGTACAGTGTGGAACATCAACACGGATATGGAACTGAGTCGCCAGCAATCGCTCTCCCACCTCCATGCTACTCGGGGTTAATGTAGGTAGAAACTGGTCTTTTTTAATGTCCAACCTGCCTTTTGAGTCCCGTACACTGTAAGCTATCTGTACTATGCACAGCTAAAGGCCAGATGGCTGGGAAGGATATGGAAGACATCCATGCTTCTTAGACCTGATCATGTACGGTGTGGTTGGGTTTCCTCTCACCTTGGAAGATACACTTTGTAGAAATGCAGCTAAGCATGTGACAAGCAGGTATAGGTCAGGGCGCGAATTCCATCTTTTCCAAAAATCTACTTCACCTGGCCCTTAATTCCGTGATATGTATAGTGAGACAAAGTTCTGTTCTGTTCTGCAATCAGAAGGTGTTTCGCCATTCAGTCTTGTCCACTTCCGCTGCTCGTTTGGTGCTCATGATGCCTTGGGACGGCTGAGCAAATAAAATATGGCATTCACCGTCATCCAGTCTGTCTTGCTTGTCTTGAATCAGTTGATCCCTGGGGTGGGTAACAGCTGCAGGGATTTTGCTCGGTAATTGTTGGAAAACGTGGCCTGTTCCGTCATAATGTTGTTAGAAGAAGGCACCGGCAGATGTTCCTCACTCTCTGGATGGTACCGCAAACACACGCGCATCAGTATATTAGTGAACGCGAGCCTGGATGCCTAAATGCAGCCTGTCACTGCGTTGAAATGAACCGCATGGGCTGCTCACGTCACGACCTGGGCTGCTTTCCCGGCACCTTTGTGCAGAGCGATCCTTGGCCGTGGTTTGCACCCTCCTGAAGTTCACTCCTGTTCTGGTTAACTGGTTGCCGGGGATTGTCAGTGTCTCTGGCTTCACTTGCATATGCTTAGCAGTCACACGTGTTGTTTTGCTACAGTGCAGGATGGCTGATTTATGACGGTCGGTCCAGCAGTAACGATTATGAAACTGGAGTGTCTCTGACCTTGGAGGCACCGCGCCAATTAGACAGTCGTGCTAAACAGCAGCTCTGGTGAAACAGACTATAGCATCAGTTCCCTACTGTTCCCTAACGAAACTGACTAATGTATCAGGCAGCAGATTCGAGAGAAAGAAATACTGTAACACTGTGAAATGCATTTTAGAAACTGCCTTAAAGCCCACAGGATTCGCACTGGCAGTGTATGCTGGTTTGTAATGGTCCAGTGAGCTGCAGGTTCATATGATACACGATATGCCCTCATATATAGTGCACTCTTGTGTATATTGGAGGCTGCAGACCGAATGATTTTTATCTGTATTTAAGGCAATGCACAGCTTTCCACTACAAAAGCGGGCAAAATGCTCACACTGCACTTTCTTTGCAGGGTAGTGTCAATCTGCACTGAAATTATGTTCGTCTCTTTTTATCGTTACTTATGGACCTGGATCATTCTTTGTTTTGTCTTCCATTATAAATTTATGCTTAACACTTAAGTAGGGTACTGCAATAAAAATTTATATTCAAGTCAGAAATTAAATAATGAAAATTCTGTACGGTTGTAGTAGTTTTGAGACGATGATTCATTTTATCACTTGTGTAAGGTAGACGACCCCCCCGCACCCCCTTCCTCGCTTGTAATGTTGTCTTTCATGCAGTTGACCAAGTGTATTGTAGATAGATAGATAAATGCTTTATTGTCATTGTAATTACAATGAGATTTAGTTTGGAATGCGACAACAGATGCACAGTATATATATGTACAATTAAATAGATTCTGAGGCATAAATAGAATCGGAGGTATGTACAGACACTACATATGTAGAGGTGTAAAGAGTTTGTGTCCAGGGTGGGTTGGGTACTTGATTAATTTTTCAGCTCCGGGTGCGGTGGATTTCTTCCAGTGATGGAAGTGATGCAGTGATGCAGTATGTGATCGCTGACTCTATGGTGCACCTGTAGAGGTTCACCAGGAGCTGCTGTGGAAGTTGTGCTTCCTTCAGGCTCTGCAGGAAGTGGAGCCTCTGAAGTCCTTTTGCTTGCTATGACTGATGTGTTTGTGGACCATGACAGGTCACAGCTGATCTGAACCCTGAGGAACCACATCCACCTTCTCACTACAGATGCTGATGTGGTGGTAGCCCCCATGTTTCCATCTCCTGAAGTCCAGGATCAGTTCTTTAGTCAAGGGCGGCATCTACAGTTTATTCAGACTGAATGTCCAAGTCCTGCCCAGAGAAGGCCCCATCACGATCTGCTCCTCTGCTCAGGCATCCCGGTCCAGCACGCGTGCAGGTTTTCCTTACGGCAGTCTCAGCGCTGCCAGTGGTACAGCAAGTCACCTACTCGCTGCATCAATCTGGCCCATGTGTCCATCAGCATCGCCACCTTGGTTGGATGCTTTGTGTTGGTGTTGGCGCCCAGCCTGTGTTTTATCCTTCCTCACTGTGGAACATATCCTGCAAGGCCAGATCTATAGGCCAGTGCCTTTGTAACTTATTTATTCATATATTCGTATATTTTTCGGAGGGCGGTAGCATATATTACCCACCGACATGGAGAGGAGTCAAAGGGGGAACATAGCCCCCAACACAGTATTTTAAGATATGTTTTTACACAAATATTTGCCCAAATGTTGAAGGAACATGTAGAGCTGGAGAAAAGTAAATACCATAGTCTCAGGATTTTGAATAATGTGTACAAATTTTCATTGCCGGTTGAAATGTTGTGTACAGTAAATTGACTGTTCTCTTAAAATCTAATTTGTCAATGTCAAGTTTCTTTGCTTTTGCATCCCCGTATGTGTGAAGTCCAGAGCTGTACCTACTTCTTATTTAAAAAAGCTTTTTGCTCCCTACTGCTAAGCACTAAAGTTAGCAAGTAATCTCTGAAGAGGTCTGCAGTTTAGAAAGAAAGATTAAGCTCCTTTAAAATGAAGTGGTACGATGTGGGAAATGGAAGTCTGGCAAGGCTGCAAAGAGACCCTGTAGCTTTCAGTATGAAGTGGACGGGGCCCTTTCTTTCGGGCCGAGGCCTCTGCACTGTTATCCTCTTCCTGTGCTGGTGCTTCTGCCGTCTGGCACACAGTGGCCAGTCAATCACATTCTCACCACGCCTCAGACTTGACTTACCCTCTTTTAGCACATTTTCTCGTGCCTCTCTGTTGCACCTATTTCGCCAGTACTTAGGGACTACAGTGGGCTTGTGGGACCCTGGCCTGTGGCGTGCATGGGTGGGGGGATGGGGNGGGGGGGGGTAATCGAGAAGCTGCCAAGCATGGATGAGGCCCAGGTGGCCTGACAGGCTTGGCATCTGAGCCTGATGCCCTTTGATTGGTCAGGAATGGTATACATTATTAATCAGATGTCAGTCTGCGAGCTGTAATTGTGCATGCGGGGCGTGCATGGGGGGGGGGGGGGGGGGGGGGGGAGTCCTCGGTTTGACTCGCTGGGAGGGTATGCTGACGATTTCAAAGCGTTTATGGTTTCTTTTGTTGTGGGCTTCTCGACACGTGACTGCACCCTGTCATGCAGCCGGGCGTGACGGCGGCACTAAGCCCTGCGGAGACTTGCTGGCGGTCAGAGAGCTGCGTTGGGCTGGCATTCTAGAGGGCATGTCGGCATGTCTGTGGGTGGCTGCCTGGCCTGCTAATTAGGCATCAAGGGAGAAAAGCTGTTTTTATTCTTTGTTTAATTATCATAAATGACACAGTTAATGTTGAGATATACACTATAGGGACAAAAGTATTGGGGCACCAGACCATTACACCTACAGGAACTTTTATGACATCCCATTCTAAATCCATAGGCATCAGTGTGGGAGTTGGACCCCCCATTGCAGCTTTGGCAGCTGCTACTCTTCTGGAAAGGCTGTCCACAAGATTTAGAAGTGTGTCTGGGGGAATTTTTGCCCCTTCATCCAGAAGAGTCAAACACTGATGTTGGACATGAAGGCCTGGCTCACAATCTCCATTCTATTTCATCCCAAAGGTGTTTGATGGGGGTGAGGGCAGGGCTCTGTGTGGGCCAGTGAAGTTCTTCACACCAGACTCTCCCAACCATCTTTTTGGACCTTGCTTTGTGCACTGGGTCACAGTCATGCTGGAACACAAGAGGGCCTTCCCCAAACTGTTCCCACAAAGTTGGAACCACAGAATTGTCCAAAATGTCTTGGTATGCTGAAGCATTATGAGTTCCCTTCACTGGAACTAAGGGGTCTAACCCAACCCTTGAAACACAACCCCATACCATTATCCCTCCTCCACCAAACTTTACAGTTGGCACAATGCAGCCAGGCAGGTAATGTTCTCCTGGCATCCATCAAACACCGATTTGCCCATCAGACTGCCAGACAGAATCATGATTCGTTACTCCACAGAACACGTTTTCACTGCTCCAGAGCCCAGTGGTAGCATGATTTACAGCACTCCACCCGACACTTGGCATTGTGCAGCTGCTCGGCCATGGAAGCCCATTCTCTGAAGCTCCTGGCACACAGTTTCTGTGCTGGGGTTAATGGCAGAGGAAGTTTGGAACTCTGCAGTTATTGAGTCAACAGAGTTTTGGCAAATTTTACAAGCTATGCTCCTCAGCACTCAGCAACCCCGCTTTGTTACTTGGTCTGCCGCTTCGTGGCTGGGATTCTGCTGTTCCTAAACACTGTCAGTTTGCAATAATACAACTTACAATTGACTGTGGTAGATCTAACAGGGAGGAAATTTCACAATCGGACTTACCGTAATGGTGGCATCCTATGACAGTGTCATGCTTGAATTCACTGAGGTCTTCAAAACGACCCATTCTTTCATAAATGTATGTAAACCTGACTGCATGGCTAGGAGTTTGATTTTATACACCTGTGGCAATGGGTCTGACAGAAACACCTGAATGATTAAGAGATCGGATCCAGTACTTTTGTCCATATAGTGTGTGTGTGTGTGTGTGTGTCTGTGTGTCTGTGTGTCTGTGTCTGTGTGTGTGTTTATTTGCTTTTAGACATATAGACAAAGAGATTTTATTGGGTTGTTTTTAATATCCAACTATAAAAACTGTTTTGCATACTGCCCCTTTGTACAGATATGTAGACTATTTTGTACAGATATGTAGATATAGTTTATTTTTTATTGTTATTTCAATATTCAAATTTACAAACACATCTAAGGGCCAGATTTGAATGCTTCACATCCCCTACATTCATACCCCCTAAACTCTAACCTAAACTGATTTACTGCAGCACATCTGGACTTGCATCCTAGGTATGTCGCTTCTGGTGTAACATTTCAGACAATAAAGCCACACTAGCCAGCTCTTTCATCAATGCAGCTTTGCAGTACAAAACCAAACAATAGTCTCCAGGGACCCAAACTGTTACTTTTCAGCAGATTAAAAAAATACTCTGGGAAAACCGGGGAAATGCTGAGCATGTGACCCAGATGGGCTGCTCCAGGGGAAATGTGGCATTCTGCTGCTGCCAGGCATGCAGTGCAGCCTCAGCGCCTGACCGTGGGGTTATCTCCCAGTGCCAGGCCGCCTGGAAACCCAGAATGCTCTGGGGGCGAAAGGGAAGACCACAGATCTCTCTTACATAGCCTGTGGTGGGGACGATGCTGAGAGGTGTGAGTGGCCTAAGGAAATGAGGCATGAGGGTAGGAGGGAAAGGAACACGAACATCTAAGCTTTGGAGCTGGAATTTAATCTGTGGCGGTTTCCACTGGAAGGAAATGATTTGTGGCCTCGCAGTGCTTGGTGAGCACTGGCTCTACCTACTTTTAGGTCTCAGCAGAGACGTGACAGATAGTGGCCTTCAAGTGCCTGGAGAGGTAACTAACAGGAGGTTATATTGTCAGGAACGAACAGGTTAAGAAAATAAAACTCAAGGAAGAAAGCTTACAGGAGACGACAATTGATATTTGTGACTGCATTTAATTTTTTGGTTTTATAAAACAGCTCAGTGGAATTTTAATTCCATAATTCAATCTCTTATACAAAAAAGTATTGATGATGTTTTCCTGCTTCAGAATCTGGCATTCAGTATCACAGCCTTGCAGTCACATGCAATAAGCTTGTCAAAGAAGTGACACTAGTATGACTGCCCTTTTGTTGTTAGGCAGTACTTGTGGTAGTGGGAATGACAGCGAGGACAGCGATGGGGGGCTACTCCTGTGTATTCAGCCTGCTTCGTCAATCACGGTCGAGAAAGGATCTTGAAGTGCACTTTGTTCCCTGTGCTACACAGGCAGACGAAGGATCAGAATAAGCAGACAGGCAGCCCAAGGCACCCCCAGATGGAGAAGAAGAAGGAGGAGGGCATGACGGACAACACACCACAGCAGGTAAGGGTGGGCGTAAGCCCCTCAGCCGCATGCACCTCCAGCTCCTTGCCGATAATTTGCCGATAATTAAAAGGATCATGTTCACCACACAAGGAGAGATCATGACCTCCAAGATTATAAAAAGTTGACGCAATTTGCTGTGAGATATGTAGCTCTGTGGGAGCCTGAAATGTATTGTAAGCTAACCATTTCTCACAGCATCGCATTTATATTGACACCTTGCTAGGGGAGAATAGCTATCGTCTGCTTGTGAGTGGTGCTTTACTGGAAAGTGGAAACAAAATGCATACTTCTTCTCGTGGTCCCTCTACCGCGCTGAATGAAAGAGAAGACATCCTCGGAATTCCTTCCCGGGTGGATAATTGCATTATTCAACACCTCTTCATCCCGAGAAAAGCAGATCAAATCGAAACTTTTTTTCCCCTTTCAAAGGCTTTTAATGTTCTGTGCCAGAAAGGCAGCTTGTAGTTGGAATGTGATTTTTTTACGGAAAGGATGCTCTGGCTTTCTGATATGCAATAACGTTCTGTGTGCTGCTATCGGGATGTAATCTGAGCCAGCCGTCAGTCAAGTGCCCCGCTGTGAAAATGAAAGATCGGCGTGGATGTGTCATGTGTTGGACAAGGCAGAGTTTTGACTGCGACGTTAAGGCCGCCTTATGTGGTCCGTCTCCTTTAAAGTTCCCCGGGCTTTTTGTCAAACAACTGTTTGTTGCGCCTGTGATGGTTCCTCGTTGTGTCGGCTTGCCTCTGTTGCCATATGGCTATGGGAAAGGAGGGTCTTTCAAAACATTCCTCTGGGTTTGTAAGTGGAAAAGACAGCGATTTTGTCAAACCGAAATGAACACCATACGTCGGAGACGAACAAAAAGCATAATGGTTCCATTGGGAATAGGGGAAAGTTATTTTCTCCAAAGTAGGGCCTATATTTCACTGTGGAGACCATCTCTTGCAGTACTTAGATGTCTTAGTGATTTTTTTTCTCTTCTGTGGCTGTGCGGAATTCCTATCCGTCGTCCTGCGACAATTTCCATTCTACCGTTTTAACATCTGCTCTTGCTATTATCTCTGTCCTGAGGTACCTGAGCTTGCCACAGGGGCAGCCTCTGTTGGCTCGGAGTCACTCCAAGTTGTTTCACATGGGTCTCGTTCAGTCGCTCACGGAAACAATTCAGCCGCACCTGGAGAGTGGACTCTGCATCGTGGGGACCCTGTGTTTCTATAATTTGTTTCTTCCTCTCTCATTTTTCAGAGTTGTGGACCACACCAAGAGGGCTTTCATCTCTGGAACAAGCCCTAACTCTTGCATTTAGTCCTCATCTCTCCAATTGGCTATCCCTAAATGAACTCCGCTGGATTGACAGGAGACTTTCAATTCTAAATAGATATATTTCTGTAGCTCTTGGCCACTTCTTCTGTGAACTTAGATGTTAAGTGAACGAATAAACTGTTCAAAAGCTGCCAGTCCTCTGTTTATTCTGGCAGAAAAATTGTCAAAATGATATTCAGAGTGCAATACAGAAGGAGTTTGGACGTGATCCTTTCTATACCTCGCTTAGACAGACTGGACCCCATGAGATCTGACCTCGTAGGCATTTTACCCTTCAGGAAATACAGTCAAGGGCAGGGGCAAAACAATGTGAAAACTTATTTTTAATCACACTTTTGAATGATAGTGTTTGTTGGGCACGTCTTTAATTACAGGACAGATACTTGTCATCTTGTGCCGTTGACTTCAAATGCAGTATCTTACTGTAACATGGTACAGTGTTAAATGTACCTGCATAAAACAACCTACATAATGGGAATATAAAAATGGTAAGGGCAGCCAGTATAACATAAAGTATGCCATGACAAATGGACAGAAAGTTTGTTCTGCTCAATCTTCAGAATATAAATACTGAAAAACTCCTTTAGACCTCTTCGGCACAATATGCATTGCAGAAACGTGTAATGTGAACCGAAATACGCACTGTTGTGTGAAGTGATTTACGACTTTGTCTTAATACTTGTACTGTAGTAGAGAGTAGGGTGATTGTATGTGTGGATTTTAAGAATGATGAAGGTAGCACAGGGACATAGGCAAACTAGTATTTTGCACGAATTAATGCAGGGCTTTTAGCTAGATGGCTGGAAATGGATCTGTTGTTGAACCTAATATAAATTTTTCTGATGTGTAACTATATACATGAGAATACTGTAATGGGCTTTGCATATATACAAATAAACTCATAAACAGTGTGGTTGCATGAGTTTATTGTATATAGTAAATGTCAACATGTTTCTTACTGAAGCTGTGAAAAGACTGAGATGTACAGTATGCTCAACATTACATGCAATTTAAAATCTCTTTGTCCACCGGGAGGAATACTGTACTTAGCAGCTGAGTTTTCAGCCAAGCTCTAACGGGATGGCAGAGATGGTTTATGACTCTTAGACAAATTGAAAGCAAGGAGAAATGAGAGAGCGAAGCCAAAACAGGAGTGCAGCACTGATCCTGTGCCGTGGGCCAGGGAGTCAGACAGCCAATGGGAATGGGGGACTCGCCTGCGGTCACAGGTATCAGACAGCCAATGGGAATGGGGGACTCGCCTGCGGTCACAGGTATCAGACAGCGGTCTGACTCCATATACAGCAGGGGTAACACAATCCACTTTATCTGCATCTCTCCACACAAAAATAATGACCAGAGCTTTACACTTGGCTACAGTCCCTAAAGGTTAGATTGAAGGGCATCTGCAGATCAAGTCACATGTCAGAGCCGCCGTCAATACATCCTTTATGGAGAACGAACGCATGGCGGTTAAGCGGTCCAACATCCCAGACCTAAAGGAATGTTCCTGACCAGCCTTCAGTGGCTTAACAGTAAAATGACCCCCCCCCCCACCCAAAACATGTTTAATCTGGTTTCTTGCAGCGTTTGTAAAACATTATTACTTTGCTGAGAAATGTATGCAATGTATTTAGTGTATATTTTGATGGATTATATTTCCATGAAGAATGTTTAAAATATAGGTTTGAAAAATGATTTAAGGCATATTTTGGGCTACCAAAATGCATTATATTAATATATATCAGTCATTAATCATCGTCATTTCTATTATTTTACTTATAAGAATAATATGTACTGTTCAGTAGTATCAAAAGAACTTAATATGTTTTTCTTAGGCTCTATGTAGAAATATATACCTTTTTTCTGTACTGCTTTATCTGCTAACCCATCTAGTGCACAGCATAGCTATAAAATAAACAATCACCATCAGGTCTTTGATGTTTTTGCAATATCTTTCTTTGTTTAAAGTTAAATATACAGGATAGTTTATGTGGGTTGGACAGATAACATCCCTCTCAGTTCCTCGATCATGGCTCCAGTGCAGTAGAGCAAAACAAAGCAGGGAGATCAGTAAGAATCCACTCCAAAAGTGAAGAAAAAAACGAGACTGAAAGAAAAACTTTGTTCTGATAAAAAAAAATGCACAATGAAGCTTCTGAATATAGACCTTTTCTTTTAAAACGAATGACTGTACATCACACTTGGGAGCTTGGGTTTAAAAATACACCCCTTGGTTTCAATAAATGTATTTTTATTAGAAAATTACTTGTTTGGTCAATAATGCCTTGGAAAAATGGTGTCACCCAAGTGTTTAGTGTCGGAAAGCAGCACACTGCGAGCCTACAGCGATGACAGAGGCTGGGAAGAGCAGGTCGCTGGCGGCTGCCATCTGAGGCCCAAGAGCCAATGAGGCGTCAGCTTGTAAGCAGGCGAGCGGAGCGTGTCAGTGATGTGATGAGGGAGTGATACCACCAGCCAGCAAGGCTGCAAGGAATCGCATCCGCTGGAGCGTGTGGATTTTTCCCTGCTCAATTTGGTGTAAGAACACTGTAAAAAAGCAGGAAGATTGGTTTTTCGCATGGCAGATGTGGAGAAGTGTCCACTGGTATTTGCAGAAAAACTTCTCAGTTCTTGGTATCACGTCGATACATGAAACAGAATATAATGAATTCCCAGGAGTTTAGCTCATTTAGCAACGCTACCTATAAATGAAGATGATCAGTATGAAAGCCTTTTATTCGCAGAAATAGGAACGGGAAACAAGTATGAGGCCTTGAAGCAGCTCTGACGGAGACTTCAGCTTTGAGCACATTGAGAGATGCAGCGTAGACCCTTCACTTAGCCGTGGCTAGGAGCAGCACAGAGGAGCAGGCTGTGCAGTGGTGAATCCGGAGGGGTGCAAATAGATGCACTTCCTGGGATGAAATGAATCATTTGAAACAAAGTTACAATCCTCCCTGCAAGCCGCAAATAAGTAAGTCAAGGGAGTGCTGCAGAGCCCTGCTGGTGTGCTGGGAAGCCTGAGAGGACAATCTGCGGCCGCCATATCGCAGCCCATCAGCACACAGAGATTTACAGTAACAAACAGCGGATTACTCGCAGCGCAGGGGGTGGGAGGGGCTGTGGTGGCTAAAGCAGCAAGGCCATGTTTCATGGGATTTGCTATTTTTTTTTCTATTTTTATGAAAGTGGGGCTTGTACACCCCATAAAGGAGACACAGAAAACAGCATTTTCTCATTCCTACCTCGTTTATTTAAATGATTAAATTCCATATGATGAAAAAAATAAGCAAATTATATAATTATCATATTCATAGCGAAGGCGGGATGAATTCCTATGAAACAATTTTCTCTTGGACTTAAGGTGTCGAAAATTGTGAAAATGGGTGTGCGGTCGAATTTCACACGGAGGTTCAGCTGCTCCTCAGACAGTCCCAGGTACAATTTGTTGATCTTGGTGCATTAAATTACTGGTGCACTGTCAAATTCAATTACGTCTGCAGGGCCTGAAGCACGCCGCTCTCCTGAGTCATTAACCTCGAGTTAAGACCGGCTTAGAGATCTCATTTGTTTTTGTTTTGGTTGCACTTTTCTCATTTTAGAAAGAGCCATTCTGAGAGGCGAAGGAATCGCCGATTCTTAAGCGTCGTAATTAGCGTCCTCCCGGC